CTGGGAAGCTCCCACATGCCTCAGAGCAACTGAGCTCACGCACCACGACTACTAAGCCTGTGCGTTAGAGCCTGGAAACTGCAGCTACTGAGGCTGCGTGCCCCAGGACCCACGCTCTGCAACAAGAGGAGCCAGGGCAACAAGGAGCCCAAGCACCACAGCTAGAGAGTAGCCCCCGCGCGTCGTGGCCAGAGAAAGCCCCAGCAGCAACAAAGACCCAGCATGGACAAAGACACGTCATAAAAATCAAGTTTAAAAATACAAAAAGGAACATCTGTTCCTGCTTCTGAGCCGCCTGCTGAGGAGCACGGACTTAGCCTCCCAGGGTCCCCTCTCGCCATGGTTTAGGGCTGCATTGTGCAGATTCCCCCAGATCAAAGGTCACACCTGAATGTCTCTTCCTGTCCTTTACTTGCAACTTGCATTTATCCTGGAGTTGAAGTCTTTAACCAGGTCAGAAGTGGAGAGTCTGCCTGCAATGTAGGACACCCGGGTTTGATCCCTGGGTCGGGAAGATCCCCTGGAGAAGGAAATGGCAACCCACTCCAGTATTCTTGCCTGGAAAATCCCGTGGACCGAAGCACCTGATGGGTTACAGTCCACGGGGTTGCAAAGAGTTGGACACGACTGAGCGACTAACATAGATTACCCAAAGGTAATCCCCTGGGACGCCCCAGGTGGCGCTATGGTAAAGAACCCACCTGCCAATGCAGAAGACATAAGAGATGCAGGTGTGATTCCTAGGTTGGGAAGATCCCTGGAGGAGGGCATGGCATTTATTTTTATTTTATTTATTTTATTAAGCTTGACCCAAACATGGCATCTTTGTGATTCTTTAACATTTTTTTAAATGTTTGGCTGTGCAGCATGTGGGATCTTGGTTCCCAACTAGCAATCAAACCTGCACACCCTGCAGTGGAAACTGCAGAGTCCTAACCCCTGGACCACCAGAGAAGTCCCAGCTCTAGTTTTTTAATCTCTGAGATTAGGCATTTAAAAGAATTTTACCCAGATACATGTCAGTTTCTCTGCTGCTGTATCTCTTGGGTATAGTTTTCTTGTTTTCTGAAATATTCTTGTAGAGAAGGTCTGCAAGTGGTAAGCATTCTTAATTTTTGTCCCTGTGGATATTCTTTTTTTTTTTTTTCTCTCTCTTGATGGGGATGCTGGGGACAAAACTCAGGATCTCATTTAAGCCAACAGGTATCTTTTTCTCTTGAGTAATTGTTTTTCAAGTTGTATACAAGAGTCCTGGTTTCTTGTTACTTTCTTTCCACGTTGGAGGTGATATCTGACTCTACAGTCTTCCAGCTTCCCTTGTTGCTGTTAGTCTGTCACCGTTTTGGAGGTCATCTCTTCTTTTCTGTGGTTGTTTTACATTTCCCAGGCTCCTCTGCCCATGGGATTCTCATGCAAGAACACTGGAGTGGGTAACCATTCTCTTCTCCAGGAGATCTTCCCAACCCAGGGATTGAACCCAGGTCTCCCACACCGCAGGCAGATTCTTTACCATCTGAGCAACCAGGGAAGCCCCATGTTTGGGGCAAGGATGCCTTCTTATTCATCCTGCTGATGATTTATGGTTTGTCATTTTCTGGAAGAATTCTCAGTGTTATGTCTTCTCATTGTTCTCTCTCTGTCTGTCTCTTCTTAGAACTCAGCCAGATAATTCTTACCATTCGAGTTGTCATATTTTCCATTTGTTTAGCTGCATTCTGGATAATTTCTCCACAGCTTTCAATTTATTGATTCTCCTTTAAGCTGTATCTAATTGTTGGAGACAACTTCTACAGTAGGTTGAACCGTGGTCCCTAAAAAGATACATCCCCATCCTAATCTCTGGAACTGTGAATGTGACTATTTGGATAAATAGTCTTCATAAATGTAATTAAGTGAAAGAAATTGCAAAGAGATGATAGTGGTCTAAATCCAATGACAAATGTCCTTTTAAGAGAAGAGCTAGAGAGAAGAGACCATGTGAAGACAGGAAATGGAGACTCGAGTGATGCAGCCACAAGCCAAAAGGAGCACCCAGAAACTGGAAGAGGCAAGCACGGATCTTCCCCTAGACCTTCAGAGAGAGTTTGTGGCTCCTGTTGACACCTTCATTTCAGATGTCTGATCTCCAGAACTGTGAGAGAATAAGCTCCTGTTGTTCTAAGCCCCCTGGTTTGCGGCACTTTGTTACAGCAGGCCCAGGAAAGTAACAGAACATCCAGTGCTGTTTTGGCTGGTCTCTCAAAGGTCTCCCACACTGCAGGCAGATTCTTTACCATCTGAGCAACCAGGGAAGCCCCATGTTTGGGGCAAGGATGCCTTCTTATTCATCCTGCTGATGATTTATGGTTTGTCATTTTCTGGAAGAATTCTCAGTGTTATGTCTTCTCATTGTTCTCTCTCTGTCTGTCTTTTCTTAGAACTCAGCCAGATAATTCTTACCATTCGAGTTGTCATATTTTCCATTTGTTTAGCTGCATTCTGGATAATTTCTCCACAGCTTTCAATTTATTGATTCTCCTTTAAGCTGTATCTAATTGTTGGAGACAACTTCTACAGTAGGTTGAACCGTGGTCCCTAAAAAGATACATCCCCATCCTAATCTCTGGAACTGTGAATGTGACTATTTGGATAAATAGTCTTCATAAATGTAATTAAGTGAAAGAAATTGCAAAGAGATGATAGTGGTCTAAATCCAATGACAAATGTCCTTTTAAGAGAAGAGCTAGAGAGAAGAGACCATGTGAAGACAGGAAATGGAGACTCGAGTGATGCAGCCACAAGCCAAAAGGAGCACCCAGAAACTGGAAGAGGCAAGCACGGATCTTCCCCTAGACCTTCAGAGAGAGTTTGTGGCTCCTGTTGACACCTTCATTTCAGATGTCTGATCTCCAGAACTGTGAGAGAATAAGCTCCTGTTGTTCTAAGCCCCCTGGTTTGCGGCACTTTGTTACAGCAGGCCCAGGAAAGTAACAGAACATCCAGTGCTGTTTTGGCTGGTCTCTCATGTCTTTTACATTTTTCATAAACTTTCAACTTTAGAATAATTTTTAGATTTGCAGAGATAGCATAAAGAGTTCCAGGGCAGACCTTGTCCAAGCTTCCCCGAACGCTGAGATTTTATATCTCCACAGTGCACTTGTCACAACTAAGAAACCAACGCCGGGGACACTGCTATGAGCTAAACCGTAGACTTTATTTGAATTTCACCAGTTTTTCTACAGATGTCTCTTCTGGTCCAGGATTCTACAACTGCATTCAGTCAGTCTGAGCTAGGACAGCTCCTCCATCTCTTGTTTTCCATGACCTGACAGTTTGGAGGTGTCCTGACCAGCTCTCTGGGGGCACATCCCACATTCTCACTGCTTTTTATCCCCTCGTTTTGTACTCAACCGCGCTAATTCTAGTTATCCGCAGGGATTAGGTTCTTCGGGTGGTGCCCACGAGGCAGCATTCCCTGGTCCCCTGTCATCTCTGTATGGAGTTTGTTCTTCGCCATCCTAGTGGGAATGCTGCCATTTGGGGCTGGAGGTGCCAGCCTCCCAACCCACATTCTGGCTGGACATTCTTGGGAGAGACAGAACAGGGAACGGGGTGTGGCTAGGGGGTCTGACTTTCTGTTTGCCTTGGGCTCTCCAGAGTTCACTGTCTTACAGCAGAAAGAGCTTTCGGAGTTTTAGACTTGGCCAAGCAAGTGCTTCCCTGACCTCGTCCCTGAAGTTATCTTTAGTCCCTGCTTCTTCCAGAAGCCTCTGAGGGCTGGTCAGACTCCTTGGTGAGACCTCACCAATCTCTATGTGAAATTCCCAACTCAAATTCGCTGGACATGGACAATCCAACATCCTTAGAACTCCCAACCCCATGGGTGCACACAGCCCGGCCCCGAGTCTCAGCTTGGTGAACGGCAGCTCAAGCCAGAGGTCTTGGATTGTCTTTGATTCTTTTATTTCTGTTTCACCTACATCCAGAGCAAGTCTGGTTAGTTCTCCAACACCGCTGGGATCTGACCACTGGGATGACCTCACCTGCGGCCCAGCCTTCTGTGTCCACAGTCCCCACTCCCTGGCCTGACTCCTCTCTCGACCCTGGGTGCTGACTTTCTGGCCTCTCTGACCATCGCCCAGTTCTCTGCTCCCCTTCCCACATCTGTTTCTCTCTTCTTCCTCACTGCCCGTGCTGACCCACGCGTCACTGCACTCTGAGCCCACTGCTTCCTGGAAACCATCTTCCCCAGCCTGGTCCCCCACGATCTCCCAGAGGCCAAATCAGAGGGTCTGCAGGGAAGCACCCTGGGGGCCTTCAGCGCCCCCCCCCCCCACCTCACTGCTGCTCAACCACTCCTCACACTGCCTGTGGGGTGCTGCATGCCTTGGACCTGGCTGGTCACCCCAGCCTGCCTCCATTCACCTGGGGCCCCTCTAGGCCAGGGCTTTGGGTGCCATCTGGCTCACATCCCAGGGCTGGCAGCCCCCAGGCCCACCTCCAGAATGCTTCAAGAGGCCCCTTTTGCTCTCTGTCCCTATGGCTCCCACCTGGGTCCAAACCCCAAGCCCTGTCTCCTGCTTGGCTGACCAGTGGTTGCCTCAAGGGATCTTGAAGCCAGGGAGTATCAGCATGAACAGAGTGCAGGCTCTCTGGGCCGCCCACAGCAGCCCCTGCTCCCCACTTAGAGGTTGGTGTCAGGCCTGGCCAACGGCTGCCCCTCACCACTGGGCTTGGCCCTTACAGCTCCCACCACTGAGACCCTGACCTTACCCCTCGCCCCTCTGCCCCGACCAGGCACCTCTGCCCCCACCTTCCTCGCTGTCTGTCTGACAGCGTCTAACTCTGTAGCTACATCGTCCATGCCTTTATTGCAGTTTCTCTTTTGAATGGAGGCTCCGGGTGCGGGGCAGCGTCCACCTGGGCTTCATTGGCCGCCGCGTCTCCGGGGCCCGCCCTCAGCGCGCGAGTCAGACAGAGGTAGCTAAAGGAATGAACCAGGGCCGCCGGCCCCTCCACACTCACTCAGCTTTGCGGGGCTTCGGGCTCGGGGCCTCTGCCGTGTCATATTCCCGCACATCCTTCAGCTCCCGCACCTGGCCCGTCAGCACCTTGGCAGCAAAAGCCACGATGTACTGTGGGAGGGGAAGGCAGAGGTGAGAAGACAGCCCTGCGCCTCCTGACCGCCGTCTGCTCCTGCCTCAGGCCCTCTGCCCCTCGCCTAACGTGGCCCTCTCACTGCGCCTGTGAGAAGACAGCCTGTGCCTGGAGGGCTCCTCGGGGACGGGGACCGGAACAGGACCGCGTCTGCGGAGGGCCGGGCGGCGAGGCGTCCACTCACCAGGAACCAGTAGAGGTTCATGAGGGTGAGCAGCAGCAGCAGCGCGTTGAAGAAGAAGTAGAAGGGGATGTCAGGCACCGACCGCAGGCTGCAGTAGCTCGTGGCGTACAGGACCTTGAGCGGGAACCAATAGAGGCGGAACCAGAACCTGCAGGAGGAAGGGGCGGCTCGGGGAGGCTGTGGGGGAGAAGCGGAGGACGGCCCCACCCCGTGCCTGACCTGTTCCGGCTGGAATCTTCCATCTGTCCCCGTCTCCTCACCCCACCCTTGTTCATTCCTGCCCCTCTGTTCCCATTCCTGCTCGGTCCTTTCCGGCCCACTGGCTTCTTCCCGACTCGCACCGCCTACTGCCCCGCCAGGCCCTGCCCCGCCCACCATGCCCCACCTGCTTCCCCGGCCTGGCCCTGGCCCTTCCCACAAGCCCTATCCCGTTCCCAACTGGCCCCACCTACCTCACCAACCCCACCCGCTTCCCTGCCGGGCCCGCCCCCTCTCTGGGACCCGCTTTCTTCCTACTAGGCCACGCCCACTCTCCTAAACCCCACCCCTTTCCGGCCTGACCCCGCCCCCTCCCCGCACCAGCTGAGGCAGAAGCTGAGGCAGCCCAGGTCGGCAGCCAGGGCGTGCAGTCTGTGGTGGGCGCCTCCGCGGGACTTGAAGTAGACATTGAGCTTGGTGAACTCCAGCTGCACGTCGTTGATGTCATGCAGAAAGAGCACGAGGATGCCCACCTTGTGGTACCTGGGGAGGACAGCGGGAGAGCAGAGGGCCAGTTACAGGGGACCCCCACCCACACCCAGGCTCCCTAGCACAGGCCCCCTGGCGGCCCCCCAGGCCTCCTGTGGGCCGTTCGCAGCCATCCTCCCTGGCCCGGCTGCCCTGCCCATTTCTTCACGCGGCTAGGTCAGCAGGAGCGCCCAAACCGCACCCACCCTGTGGCAGCCCCACCCAGGCCCTCACCCTATCCCTGGTGACTCAGGAACCTCTCTGCAAGTACTTTCTCTGATCCTTCCTTACCTCTGTGACCCCTCACCCCTCTGTAACCCCTGACCCTGACATGTCCAGATCCCTCAAACTGTAAACACTGCCTCACTGATGTTCCCAGGTTTATACATTTAACCTGAACACAGCCACGATCTGCAGGCTTGCCCGAGATGGGCTGGGTCCCCGCTAGGATCTGCAGAAGCCTGGAGCCCCGCTCCTGACCACTCACAGCTGCGTGGGCCAGCAGCCTGAGTCCAGCCTGGACGTGGCCGTGTGCCTTGGTCACGTCTCCGTTCCCACTCTGTCCTCCTGACAGCTCAGGCTCCCAAGTCACAGGCTGTGCTCACCACCTAGCATCCCTAGTGTTCCTGGAGGCTTCCTTCATCGCCCTTCAGTCTCTGCTCACCTGTCACCCCCACCCCCCCACCTAACCTCACCACCTTGGTAGTCCTCATCTTTCCATTCGGGTTTTCCAGTTATCACCTTCAGATAAATGTCGGGGGGGGGGGGTGAGGGGATGTTATCTGACTCTACCCTCTAGAGCAGGGCTGTCTGATAGAATTTTCAGGAATGATAGGAATGTTCTAAACCTGCACTGTCTGAGACCCAGAGTCACCAGCCACATACTGGCACTGAAGTACAGAATATGTGATTTTATTTAAGTTTAATTAACGTTAACAAGGCCACTCGTGGCCAGCAGCTACTGTGCTGGAGGGCACAGCTAGTCCAATAGGAATAGAATATGAGCTGTATGTGTCATTTAGTTTTTTAATTTTATTGAAGTACAATTGATTTACAATATTGTATTAAATTTATGCTATATAGCAAAGTGGTTCAGTTTATATATGTGTATTTTTATATATATAAAGGCTTCCCTGGTAGCTCAGCTGGTAAAGAATTCACCTACAATGCGGGAGACCTGGGTTCAATCCCTGGATTGAGAAGATCCCCTGGAAAAGGGAATGGTAACCCACTCCAGTATTCTTGCCTGGAGAAGCCCATGGACAGAGGAGCCTGGCAGGCTACAGTCCATGGGGTCACAAAGAGTCGGACACAACTGAGCGACTAAGCACATTCTTACATATACATATACATTCTTTTTCATATTTTTCTATTAGGATTTATCACAGGGTACTGAATATAGTTTCCTGTGCTATACAGTAGGACTTTGTTGTTTAACCCTTCTATATGTAATCATTTACATCTGCTAATCCCACTTTCATTTTAAATTTTCCATCAGCCACGTTAAAAAAAATAAAGTGGAAGAGGTAAAATGAATTTTAATAATATATTCTAAATAATTCAGCATATCTGAAATATTGTCATTCAACATGTAAATGAGATAACAAAGAGATTGCAAGGTATTTTCACTCTCCTTTGCCTTGGAATCAGAGTGGCTTTTACATATACAGCAGCTTGTGGCTTGGACAGGCTCTGCCTTGAAGCCTGTGACCATATGTGGTGGCCATGGTGGGTTCTGGAACATCAGGGTCTGTCGGGCTCATGGCTGCACCCCCAGCAGCACCTGCCACATGGCAGGTGTTCAGTAAACACTTGCTTTGTGACCTGGCCAAGGATGCCATCTAGGAGGGGTTAGAGTGGCACAGATGGGGTGGGGGCAGGAGGGCCTCTCTGCACCTGTCTCACCCCGTCACTCTAGAATCTCCCTCCAGAAGCCTCCCCCACGGACACTCCCATGCCTGACCCAAGGATCAGCCTCTGTCCTGTGCCAGCCTCCTGCCACTGCTCACACCAGCACCCTCTACCCTCCTGTTTCCCCCTGGACTCACCGGAAGGCATAAGAGGAGACAATGAGGACCAAGGTGACCACGTGGTGGACGAGCATGACCACGGAGNTGCTCACACCAGCACCCTCTACCCTCCTGTTTCCCCCTGGACTCACCGGAAGGCATAAGAGGAGACAATGAGGACCAAGGTGACCACGTGGTGGACGAGCATGACCACGGAGTCCTTGCGCCAAGCATCCAGGTACAGCGTGGCATAGATGGAATGGCCGTAGAAGCTCCCCTGTAGCAGGTAGGCCACTGCAATGTCCCGTGGCACTGCCATGCCCGTCTTCCAGTCTGGGGAGGGCCGCACCGTGCCGTCAGGGACTCACAGGGCCTCTGGGACCCCCAGTGGCCCCACTCACCCCCTCAAGCAGGCATGTGCCGCATGTCTCTGCAAATGCGCTGGTGACCGGGTTTCTGCTACCCACTCTCCACCCGTCATTGTTTAGGAATAGGCATTACCTTCTAGACCGATTCTACATCTACAGAAAAAGGTGCTCCTACCCTCAAAACGACTCCTACAAGTCCATACTAAAGGAAACCAACCCTGAATATTCATTGGAAGGATTGATGCTGAAGCTGAAGCTCCAATACTTTGGCCACCTGATGTGAAGAGTCGACTCATTGGAAAAGACCCTGATGCTGGGAAAGACTGAAGGCAGGAGGAGAAGAGGGTGGCAGAGGATGAGATGGTTGGATGGCATCACCGACTCAATGGACATGAACTTGGGAAAACTTTGGGAGATGGTGAGGGACAAGGAAGCCTTGTGTGCTGCAGTCCATGGGGTCGCAGAGAATTGAACACGACTGACCGACTGAACAGCAGCCCTGAAATCGGTCCTGTGCAGAACTTTCAACTCTGCCCCAGGCCCCCTTCCTGTTGTTTCTTAGTCGCCAGGCTTGCTCGAGACCCTCCCAGCAAAGTCCAGACTGATGGAGGTGCCACCTGCCTCGCTGTACCATCCAGTGCCCAAGAGTGTGGGTGTTCCCGCATAGCGGGCCCAGCTCCACTTCGCTTCCTCCTGTAGTTCCCCCTGGCCACCCCCAACACATGTGCCCAACCAACAATTGAGCCTTCCCAGGGACACCGACCCCCAGCTACTTCTACCTCCTCTGTCCCCTCCTCAACCCATCACCAGTCTCTGCCTGGCCTGACCGAGAACTCCGGGCTGTGCCCTGCTGTCTGCAGCTCCTCCTGCTCACCCCACCCTGAAATGGCCTCCTCGGGCTCCACCCCAGGTCTCCTGTCCCCACCCCCTGCCTCCATGACCTGGAGCTAGACCCTCAAGTTCCCCTGGAGCCCTACCCACTAGCTGCCTCCTCCAGTGACAAGCCTTCGCCTGTGCCCCAACCCCTCCTGCAACAGAGACACACTTGGGCGCCTCTCCGAGGGCCCCTCCTTGGTCCCTGCCCCCACCCCCGCCCTGGACCAGGCACTGCCATCTCCTCCCAGCACTGCCCCAGCTTCCTGGCCTCCAGAGCCTGTTCCTGACTGTTTGACGGTCCGTTCTCCCCGCAGCCACCTCAATGGCTGGGAATACACAGACCCCATGACCTGGCAAGCCCACTCTTGGCCTATGGCCAAGGGAAATGAAGACAGGGACGCTTTACACCCATGTTCACGGCAGGACTAGTCACAGTCATCAAAAGGGGAAGAGCCATCAGCAGGTGAATGGATGCACAAAATGGGATAAATTCACATGATGGAATATTGTGCAGCCACAAAAAGGAAAGATGCATTAACACACACTACAATGTGGATAAACCTCAAAAACATGATGCTGAGTAAAAGAAGCCAGACATAAAATAGTCACATATAATCACAAACCAATGATTCCATGTAGAAGAAATGACCAGAACAGGCAAATCCATGGGGACTGAAAGCAGATTAGTGTTTACCTGGGGCTGGGAGAGGGAGGATGGGGAGCTGCTAATGGGGATGGGTCTCCTTTTGGGCAAGATGGAAATGTTCTGGAACTAGATAGATATGGTGCTTGGACAACACGTGACTGTGCTGTCACTGATTTGCTCCCTTTAAAATGGTGAATTTTTAAAAATTGTGCTAAAAAATATATATATAACATAAAATGTACCATCTAGGCCACTTTTAAGTTCAGTAGCACTAGGTATATTCACAGTGTTGCACAACCAATCCCCAAAACGCTTTCCATGTTGTAAAACTGAAACTCTGTTCCCACTGCACACTCCCACTGTCCCCGCTCCCCCAAGCCCCTGGCCCCCACCATCTACTTTCTGTCTCTGTGGATCTGACAACCTTGTGCTGTGCTGGGCTTAGTTGCTCAGCTGTGTCCGACGCTTCGCAACCCCATGGACAGAGGAGCCCAGGAGCCTGGTGGGGTCCTCTGTCCATGGGGATTCTCCAGGCAAGAATACTAGAATGGGTTGCCATGCCCTCCTCCAGGGGATCTTTCCAACCCAGGGATCAAACCCAGGTCTCCCGCATTGCAAGTGGATTCTTTACCAGCTGAGCCACAAGGGAAGCCCATGAATACTGGAGTGGGTAGCCTATTCCTTCTCCAGGGGAATCTTCCCAACCCAGGAATTGAACCAGGGTCTTCTGCATTGCAGGCAGATTCTTTACCAACTGAGCTACCAGGGAAGCCCTAAGTGCCTCATATAAGTAGAATCACACAATATTTGTCTTTCTGTCACTGGTTAAAATCATTAATTCTGGGAATTCCCTGGTAGTCCAGTGGTTAGGACTCTACACTTTCATTGCTGGTGGCATGGNCCTGCAATGCAGGAGACCTGGGTTCAATCCCTGGCCAGGGAACTAAGATCCTGTAAGCCACATGGTGCAGCCAAATAAATTAATAAAATTAAATAGTTAATTCTATGTTATGTTTAACTAATTTTAAAAATGCAAAACACCCGACAGATCACTCATCCCCAACTTTAACATGTCCAGGGCTCCCGAGACTCAGCAGCCAAACTCAGTCTTGGGAGCGTCTCTCGCCACGCTGTGTGTGCGGCCGGGCAGCAGTCAGCAGAGGGAGCCCCCCACCCCGCAGGTGCCTCTGTCCCTCTTGAGAAGGAAGGGACATGGAGGTGCCCTCTGTGGAAACTGGACATCTACTTTTCCACCTATCGCATTCAAGACTGGTACAGTGGGGAGCATCCCCTCTCCAGCCGTGGGCCCTGGATCTGGGCTAGAGGGAAATGGGGAGCAGATAACTCCCCATCCGGGCTGCATCTGTGCCTCCTGGCACATTTGGAGGGGGGCAGGCAGGGCACCTCGTCTCCACATACACTCCCTTGCTGCTCTGGACTCTCCACATCACCCTCGCCTCATCCCCCTCCTCAACCTCCAGGATCAGCTCCTGGTCTCCCCACACCTGCTCCACCTCCACCCCCAGACCCCAGCATCAGCCCCACCCTCCTCCCCTCTCACACCCACCTCTGGTTTGGCAGTGAATCCTACCAATTCTGCTTTCAAAAAATTTCTTAATGATGTGATCTCTGCCTCTCTCTTTTTTTAGTTTTGGTCATGCCCAGTGGCACGCGGGATCTTAGTTCCCCGACCAGGGATCCAACCTGTGCCCTGTGCAGTGGAAGCACAGAGTCCTCACCCCTGGGCCACCAGGGGGACTCCCCTTAAAACATCTCTTAACCACTTCTGTCCCTGCTTCAGCCCTGTTCTGGGCACAGACACCAGCTCCCGCCCTCAGCCCCTCAAGTCATCCTGTCAGTGTCCCCACTTCTGCTCTCAGCCCTCTGGTTAAGGGCTCCACTGCCCCGGCTCCAGCTGACTGGGCTCCTTGCTGTTTCTGGTCAGCCAGTAGCGTGTCTGTCTGACAGTAGCCTTTACATCTCCTACCTGCCCCAGGCTCCTCCCAGTCCCCCATATAAATCACCTTTGGTGAGACCATTCCCATCCCTGTGGCCTTCCTGGTGGCTCAGATGGTAAAGGATCTGCCTGCAATGCAGGAGACCTGGGTTCAATCCCTGGATCAGGAAGATTCCCTGGGGAAGGGAATGGCTATACTGGAATACCCATTCCAGTATTCTTGCCTGGAGAATTCCATGGACAGAAGAGCCTGGTGGGCTATACAGTCCATGGGGTCACAGAGAGTCGGACACCAGCTAACACTTTCCCCATCCCTGTAGAAAATGCCCTTCTCCCCATCTCCCAGACACCCCATATCCCCTCTCCTCTCCTCACTCAAGATTTCTCATCTGTGTTTGCCACCATTAACAGATTTCCTATTTCATGGTCTGTTACCCCAAGACACAGAGGAAGGGCCCTTTCTCTCCCCTGCCCACAGGTGTGCCAGCACAGCGCCTGGTACCGAGTAGGTGCTCAATAAATGTGCACCCAAAGAAGCAGCTAAGTTGCAAGTGTGGTCACACAGAATAATTTTTAAGGAGGAGCCAGAGGCAAGTCCATGCCCGAAACTTTCAAAGAGTTCAATTACAGTTCATTCTCATAAAAGAAAATTGAATGACAACTAAAACCTCCCCCCAGGGATTTACGACATGGGAAAAGCAGTCCTGCGGACAGCAGGGTCCCAAAAAGAGACACACAGGGGTTCCAGGCACAGCTCCCTGGGGCCACAGGAACCCTCTCAGGATGTTTATATATCACACAGCAGGAAACACGTCCATGTGTGTCCCAGACGCACGGACTGTGTGGTCAGCACAAGGGTAGCGAAGTCTGACCCCTCACTGCAGATTGTTCTCTATCAGCCTCCTGGCTGGTGACAGACGGCGCTGCAGTCACCTTCCTGCCCATCCCCCACCCACAGCTCAGACCTTCATGAGACTTCCACATTGAAGCCACGCAACGGATGCAGTCACTTCCCCCCACCTATATCTCCTCACCAAGCTGGTCCAAGCCACACTGGTCTTTCACCTGCCCCCTGGGCCCGGCTCCCCTCCTTACCCAAGGTTCATTTCCTGGGAGCCAGAAGAAGCTTCTTATAATCCACAAACCCACCCCATTTAGGATGAAACTCAAGCTCCTGCCATCCTCCTCTGGTCTTTAGACATCGTGCTCATGCAAGCCCCAGGGCCTTTGCACGTGCTGGACTGCCTGTCAGGGCCCACACAAGGGGTCACCTCCTCTAGGATGTCTCCCTGAGTCCTGACACAGGGTCAGGTGCCCCCTTTCCTGGCCCACAGGCCCCTCAATTGCCACTGTCTCGGGGCCGACGTCCAGTATGGGATGTCTGATGAGCGTCGGGCTCCCTGAAGTAGCTTTCTCTGAGTTCCGAACACAGCCCTCCCCCAACCTGCCCCACCCTGGGAGGGGCCCTACCATAGAAGACGGAGGGTGGGTCGTGAAAGAAGGGGTAGTCAGTGCCGAAGAGCAGGTAGGTGCTGTAGCTCCAGGCGCCCAGGTAGAAGAGAAACTTCCAGGCGCTCTCAGGCATCTTGGCGGCATCTCTAGGCTGGAGGCGGCACCGCTTGGCTAGGGGCTATGGGTGAGAAGGTGGGTGGGCCATCAGCACTGGGGGCTCAGGTCCCAGTCCAGGGAAGGGAAACCGAAGCCGAGGGACTCCCCAGGCCAGGCAGTATTGGGGAGGGCCGGGCCAGGTCCCCACAGCCTCCTGGAACGTAACCAGAGCCCACGAGCGCCTGCCAAGGGCTAAACTTAGTGCCCAGCTGTCCAGCCGCAGTGGCCTGGGGAGGGGAGTGATGGGGGAGACCTGAGAGGAAACGGGAGGGAGGCTGTGAGCAGAGGAAGGGGACGTGTGGGTGTGAAGCCAGGGAGATCACTGGGTCAGTCTAGGGGACTGGGGGTGGGAGGTCTCAACAGGAGCTGGGGGTATGACAGGGAGCAGGGAGGATTAAAGAGAAGATTTGGAAGGGGCGGTGGGGGTGAACCTGTGAGGAGAGCATGGAGGCAAATTTGGGGGCATTTGTGGGGGACACAGGGGGCTGGAACCCAGTGATCCCCAGGGGGAGAAACTTGAGGGGAAGGGGATGCCTCAGAGGTGGAATCTGGGGAGACCTGAGAGGAACAGAGGGCTGTGGAAGATGGGGGAGGGATGTGGGGCAAGACCTGGGGATGCAGGGCGACAAAGGAAGGGAGGATGCAGCAGAAGAATAAAGAGGGTCAGGGCAAGGACATCAAAGACAGGCGGACCTGAAGGGACATCGGGGAAGGCACAAGAGAACTGGGGGCATGAAACGGTGAGACGCGGAGGAATCTGCGGGGCTCAGAGCCCCTGCAGCCCTGGGAGCAGAGCCTCAATCTCCCTGGGGGCGGGGCTCCACAGCTGCCGTCCAAGCCCCGCCCCCTTCCCCTAGGAGAGGCTGAGGGGGCTGGAGCACCAACAGTCGCCATGGAGACAGTTGGAGCCAGCTCCAGTAACCCCTGGCAACCAGACAGCTGCCAAGAAGATGAGCTTTGGAGGACGAGGCAGCCCACCCGTTTCTGGGGAAGGGCGAGCCACAAATTTGGAGTGAATGCCAGACCTCCGGGGATTCCAAAAGTGGGGGCGCTGTGATCTTGCTGTCCCCTACCCAGCTCCCTCAGGAAGTGAGGAGGAAGCCTGCTCCAACCTGGTAGTCCCAAAGTGACCGTATCCCCTCCTGGGCTCTGGTGTTCCTGGACCTCTCCCCTCCCAGCTGGAAACTTGCAAGGTGGGGGAAGCAACAAGGTTAGACTGGGCCCAGAGCTTGACATATGGAGCAGCTCTGGTCGTGCCGGCCGCCCCTCCCTGGAGCAGGGTGGTGGCTGGGGTCTCCACCCACCATGTGGGTCATATGGGGGTGGGGACAACGGCAGCCAGACAACATCCCATCCTCGACTTAACAAGGGCCAGCCTCTTCCCTGCAAGCAGAGAAAGGCCCCTTTGTTGGCTCCGGGCACTCTGTCCCTGCACCCCCTGCCAGCTCTGGTCAGACGGGCGGAGTGACCCCAGCTGGTCCTCGAAGGAGTCACAGCCCAGAGATGAGTCCAAACGCCTTCCCACAAGCTCCCACAGCAGCGACCCCTCCCCAAGGAAAGGAGGGAGACCAGGCGCCAATGTCACCCCCGGTCACTCTCCAGGTGGGGGAGGTGGCCTTCCCAGACTCGCCGGAAATTTAGTAGTTCGGTCGCGACCCCTTGGGGGCCGTACAGTCCGGCTTCGAGGACCCAGGCCGCGCGACCTCTCCCAAAGACTGAGAACGCGGCGTCGCCAGGGAGCCCCGGGTTTTGCATCCCTTGATCGGAGGGTGGCGCTGACTCCAGAGAGCCGAGCTACAGCGAGCGGGCAGCTCCGGCCTCTTCCCCGTAGCAGCGGACAAGCCAGTCCCGCCGCCGCACCGACCCAGGACACCAACACGGTTCGGAGAGCGCCCCGCACGACCCGGAGAAGCAAGGCGCAGACGGCCCCTGTGCGCCGAACCTTCTCCTCCTGTGTCCTCCGCTCCTCGGTCTCCGGCTCCACCGGGTCCGAAAGAGTGCGCAGCAGCCAAGGCCCTCCCACCTCCCGGGGCCTCCTTGTGCCTCACTGACCGGATCTGTTCCCCCACATCTTGAACACCCTACCCGAGTCGGGGTCCACACGTCCCACGCTTCCCCAGCCCGGTCACACCCCCGCATCCACCCCGACTCCCACCCCGCCCTGACCGATAAGGCACCCGGCGGCCCACGATTCCGCGGCCCGAGCTCCTCCAGCCCGGGGCCCCCATGTCCTAACCCCTAGAAGCACTGACCCGAAAGAGGCGCGAGGTGGCCGCCGAGCGCAGCACGGTCCAGCCGAGCGCGCCGAGGGCCAGCAGCAGCAGCTCGGGCGGCGCCAGGTGCGCGTGCTCGGCCAGGCCAGTCTGCGCCCGCCCACGGTGGCCGCCGGAGCCGCGCGCCCCGCGTCACGCGCTGCAGTTGGGCCGGGGGGCGCGCTGGCGGGAGTTCTTGGGACGGAGGGGCGGGACCGGCGCTAGCCCCGCCCCTCAGGGACGGGGCGCGGCGTTTACGATTTCGGGGCGCGCGGTAGCTGGGTCCCGCGGAGGCAGCGTCGGCGTCGACCTCGGGTGTACAAGTCCCGGCGTTGTCGCGCCGCGTCCTGGAGGCGGGCCAGCGCTCGGGCTCATTTTCCAGTGGAGGAAACCCAGGCGCGGGAGGGCGGAGCAGAGGTGGACTGGGTGTCTTGCCTGTCGCCCGCCAGGCCTAAACCCAAGAAGGACCGGAGCGGCCCCGTGCCCCCACCCCTCGTCCCCGCTTGCATGCCCTTGCTCAACCTGGGCCCCTTCGCCCCACCAGGCTGTGTCCTCGACATGGGGCACAGCGGGCACCAGCAGGCCGCACCGGGACCCGCGATTCTCTTTCCCAGGCCCTCCAGCTTGTCTCTGTTGCCCTGTCCCACACTCACACCTCACACGTCCCGGCCTGAGGGCCAGCTGCTGCCCTCCGTGCCCTCGAGGACCCGTCAGGCCACTGCAGCAGGTTAACAGACCTTCAGGGAGGCCAAGAGAGTGGGTGCCCCAGGTGTGTGTGGGGGGGCCCACCTGGGTTGAATCCAGATCACTGCTTCATTGGGACCACCCCTGGTGATCTTCCATTATCCACCCACCAGGCCTCGTGTCCAAAGCCCCCAAAGGCCATCACCAAAGGTCACCTCTTGGGGACATCTTCCTGCCACCGATGGCCTTCATTCCAGCCCCCGGGATTCTCGTACACCTGTACCCCTCCCTCCCCCCCACCTTGCAAGTTGCAGAGTTAATCCGCGTGGGCCGTGCAGGAGCCTGGCTGGGTTCCATACGGCCACTAGCCTGACCCGGCCTTCACGCACACAGGTGAAAATGGAAGACATAGGGGCCAAGAGGACCCTCATCCCTCGTCCTTTCCCTTACTGCCTATCCCGACCCCTCGTCTTCCAGCACATCCAGTTCAGTCCACCTTCAGACGTTTCCAGAATCCAGTCAAGCCTCTCCATCTGTGCAGCCTTGTTCAACCCTTGGCCACCCTTGTGCCTCCTCCTTACCCCACAGAGGCCAGAGGAAACCCACCCGCTCCTCCTCTGCTCACAGCCTTCCATGGCTCCCATCACCCAGAGGAAAAGCCCACCCTCAGGCCTCCTCGCTCCTCCCATTCCAGCTGCACTGGCCTCACAGCTGGAGGTAGCGCTCCAACAGCAAGCAGTTCTGCCTCAGGGCCCTCGCAATGCTGCTTCCTCGCTTCCCCAGCTTCAGGCTTTACCTCCAGTCACCTGGTCGTTGCACCTCCCTGATCCCCCTGCCCCCAGCAGCCTTGTCCTCGGCACGAGTCACCATCTGTCCGGCTCTGCCGCCTACTCGGTACTGTTTTAATGTGCTCTCCGTGTGGGCAAGCATTCTGTCCGTTAAAGATACCCAGTTCTATAGCCAGCCTGGCAAGCTGAGGGGAGCTAAGGGGTCCCAGGACAAGCCTCTGTAAGTCCAGCCGGGCAGCCCTGTACCCCCAACTACCCATCTCTGTCCTCCCCCTGCCCCAGGCACTATCTGGTCACCATGGCACCCATCAGTAAGGGGAGAGCTGTGCCCCCACACCAGCCCCAGCCCAGCCTCAAGTTTCCCTTTGGCACGGCCCAGGTAGGAGGCTGCCAACGGGTGGGTGCAGAGGAGAAACGGAAAGTGGCCCCTGGTGCTGGCAGCTGGGAACCTGGGCTCCCAGGCACCAAGGGCTCCGAGGGGGCTGCCAAGGTCCCAAGAAAGGCACTTGTACCCTGCCCTTCCTGAAAGGGCAGGCCTCCTCTTCCCCAGGGACCTTACCCCAGCCCTCACCCTTGTACGGAACACTGCCCCTGCCCTGGAAGGCCTCTGCCACCTCAATCCCCTGCTGACCTGGTGGAGAAGGGCTGGGGGTCCCTTGCTCTGTCCTGTCTTGGCAGTCAAAGGCCAGCTCTGAGGCAGATGAGGTCAGGTTCTGGGAAGCCAAGCATCTTTCTTTCCCTCCCCAGGCACAGGCCCAGAGACAAAGCCCCATCGCCTTGTTGACTCTAGTGCGGCCCCAGGATCTTTGCACAGGCTGTCCTTTCTGCCCAGGAGGCTTGACCTCCCAGAACCTGGGCTGACTGATCCTTCTTGTTCAGGCGGACACGGCTCAACGGTGACCTCATCCCAGAGGCCCCACACACCCCCGCCCTCTGTTGTCCAGCTTCTACTTATCAAGGGGTGCTCACTGGGCACTCATCTCTCTGGGCAGGGAGCTCGGTGCTCCAGCCACAGCAGTGCTCTGGCACCCACGTCCCCATCACGGCGGGTCTGTCCTGACTCACCACACGGCAGCAAGGAGCAGGGGCCGGTGTGGTAGGGTGATGTTTACTCCTCTGAGGACCCGGCAGACCCCTCCCCACTTAACTGAGCTGAGGCCTGAGTACTTCTGGCACCCTCACCACCTCCAGACACCCCAGGGGTGTTGCGTTTAAATCCCGGTACCCCTTGTGATGGCTGTGACCGCCCCGTGCCTCAGTTTCCCTGGATGTCAACAGAGTGTAGGGGTAGCTGTTTGGCCACCAGGGCTCCCTCCCATCTGCCCCCTCAAAGGGGCTGCAGCAAACACGGATTGGGCGGGGATTCCTGGAATGGAGACATTTATTGAAAAACGGCAGGCTGGGCTGGGCTTCCAGCCTGCGCTTCTAGCCGAAGGGCAAGTGCCCGGCGGAGAGAGCAGCAGAGCCCTGGCCTCGCATCCTCACGGCTCCTCCGGAAGTGCCCCTGGGGCAGGCCTCAAGCACTGGGGGCGTACTGCAGCACCAGCCGGTCAAAGTCGTTCTCCTTCGACGTGAATTGGGGGTGCAGGGGTAGGGGCGGGGGGCGGGCAGAGAGAGAGAGAGAGACGGGAGAACTTGTGAGCCAGGCCCCGAGTCCCCCACCTTGCCTAGCAGAGCCTGCGGGCTCTGGGGCAGAGCTGGGCCACCCGCAAGGGCTCACCTTGGCCTGGTACTCCTTGATGAAGGGGTGGGACCTGTGGGCGTCCTTCAGCTGGGACAGGTAGCGGTTTGTCACCTGTGGGAGGAGGCAAAGTTAGCTAAATATGGGGACCCCATGTTGGCTCTGACCTGGAAAGAATGGGATGAAACAAGGGCCATCCAACCAGACCCAGGCAAGAGCCCCGATTTCTCCACAGTTTTTCCATCACCGCACACCCAGGAATCATGCTGAAGTAGAGGGGACCCTGGGGGATGAGGCCAGGAGCCTGTACTTGGCACATGACTGAAGGGGTGCACCGGGTTCAGGGATGTGGGCTGGGGGGGGGACCCAGGCCCGGGGAGAGGCAGGGCGCCAGATGGAGTGGACGGCAGGTCAGGGGGACAGGGCTGGGAAAGGAGATGGGCTTGTTCTGGGCGCACTGTATGGAGACGCCTCAGAGGCCTGGGGATGGGAACTGGGGCCAAGGTGGAGCCTTACGCCCAGCCTGGCCCTACCCACCCCCCGGCCCAGCCAGACAAACGGGGCTGTGGGCGTCTGTGCGGCTCTGCTTCTTCCAAACCGGGGGTCTGGGGGTGTTTCTGTGCTGAGTTGGGGGGCTGTCCTATCTGTCCCACACCACCCCAGCCCTGAAGCTGCCAGGGGGCCCTTCTCTAGGCACTGGGGACAGACCCCCCCATGAAGCCCTGGGGGGGCAGGCCCCTGGCTGCCTGGGCCTGGCACCTAATGGGGCAGGGCCCCACATCCTCCCCCTGCACCCTCAGACGAGACAGGCTCCCCAGGATGGCTCCCCTGGGCCCCGTTTCTCTGTCCCGTTGCCTGCTCCTGACTGTGAGGTGACACAGGCCGGCTCCCANCCCCCTGCACCCTCAGACGAGACAGGCTCCCCAGGATGGCTCCCCTGGGCCCCGTTTCTCTGTCCCGTTGCCTGCTCCTGACTGTGAGGTGACACAGGCCGGCTCCCACCCTGGGAGCCCTGAGCCTCAGTGTCCAGAGGACTCGCAGAGCTCCGGGCAGGGTGGGAGCCCTGGGGGAGTGCCTGTACCACCAACTTCCCAGGGTCAGTGGCAGCCGCATCCACTCACAGGGAGCAGGTTTCTGCCCCAACCCCAGGCCAGCCTTGAAGTTTGACCCTGTGGCCTCGAGCTCCCGGTGGAGCCAGGTCCTCACTGGAGACCCCAGCCCACCCCAGGCTGGCACCGTGAAGGCCAGAAAACCCTGCGGCACCTGCTGGGGGCGGGGAGGGGCCTACCTCAGGAGGCTTGCCCAGGTGCTGGGACAGGACGACGAGGTTGATCAGTGTCTCAGGGT